CCCCCCTTTTCGCGCCGAGGCCCGTCTTCCGGAGGTTTGTCGTCGGGATTATATTCTTTGCAGGGATTTGGTCGACGATGAGGGTTAAGGACAACCCTAACCCTCCCGACAGGCCAAAGACTCCTCATATATGTCATGTTATATGTAGAATATAGACACGGTTGGAAGGTATTAGTCACATCGAGGAGAGCTTCAGTGGCAAAGGACACAGCGTATTATCAATTGAAAAACCTGATTGATCCCTTTACGATCCCATCTCCGTCTCCCGCGTCCCAGACCTTTTCTGCCGCCCGGCCAAAGGGGAAAGGCGGTGACAGAAAACTTTTTGTGATCTTGCGCGCCTATAAACTTAGCGAGCGGTGATTGACCCCACGCGAGAGAGGGAGAGAGAATCGCTTTTGATCTTCCACTACTTCACGCAGCTCTTTGCTCCATCTTGAGGTCTTCTCTCTTCTCTCTTCTCTCTTCCCTCTTCTGTCCTTGTGTCTGTACCGTCGTGTGTCCCTTCTACTCGCCCCGCCCTCTGCCCTTCGTATCTGGCCCATCTCGACCATCGAACACTTGAGGCATTTGAAGCTCCCATAATCACGCATCCACGGCCTCTGCTTGCGCGCCCTCCCCAATCCCAGAAATCCCTCTTCGACTGCCTTTGGTCAAATCAAAGGCCTCCCTCTTCATCACGGCTCGCGCAGCCGCTTTCCTATTCTCCGACCAAGATTTCTCCGAACGTCCTAACCGGCACATCATCAACACTCTTCCTCCTCCTGCTGCCGTCTAAGTAGCTTTTGCGCCTTTTTTTTGTTCGCTTTGTCCTCAAACTCAAAACATACCGTCCCAAACCCCTCAGCTGCCGCATAGGACGGGTTTAGAGGTTCTTCCTCGGCGAGAGGAAGAGTCGTGATCCCCGACCTCGTCAGATTGGCACAGGATCTGACCGAATAGCCCTCCCCTAATAGCCCATCAAAGTAGAAGAAGGGTGAGTTCCCCAGCTCTGGATTCCTTTCCTCCCAAGGATCCTTTTCTCCCAAGGATCCTTTTCTCCCAAGGATCCTTTTCTCCTAAGGATCCTTTCCTCCCAAAGATCCTCTCCTCCCAAGCAGGCGCTGACGGTCGCAGAGCAACCCAGTAATACCTCGAACCCTACTCGAGGATATGCCACCTTCCGCGATCGCCACCATTGAAACAACACCAAGTCTTACGAGTATCAATTCGTATTTTGAAAGTACGAAGCGTACTTATCTCAATGGCGCGAATATCCCTAAACAGTTGATTGGGGCTGCTTTGAATGAGAGGGTTGAAAATATCGATCACAATGGTTGCGAGCCTGGCGATGAAGACACATTCTTCGTAGCTGATCTCGGCGAGGTCTATCGACAGCATATGCGATGGAAGTTGAACCTCCCCAGGGTCAAACCATTTTATGGTAAGCCAGTCAACCCCTTGGCATCATCCTGGATTTTACTGATCGCCCCTCAGCCGTCAAATGCAACCCCGATCCGCAGGTCCTTCGCCTTTTGGCAGAGCTTGGCACTGGGTTTGACTGTGCCTCCAAGGCCGAGATTGAACAAGTCCTGAAGATGGACATTGACCCCGACCGCATCATCTATGCTCAGCCATGCAAGACGAACTCCTATGTTCGCTATGCGGCCAGCCATGGGGTTAAGCAGATGACTTTCGACAACGCCGATGAGCTCTATAAGATCAAGAAACTCTACCCCGGAGCGGAACTCTTCCTACGCATTTCTACTGATGACTCTTCGAGCTTGTGTCGCCTGAGCCTCAAGTTTGGCGCCGCCATGGATACAACGGATGCGCTCCTTGCTCTCGCCAAGGAGCTGGGCCTCAATGTTGTGGGCGTCAGCTTTCACGTGGGGTCCGGCGCTTCTGATGCCAGCGCATTCTGGAATGCTGTCCAAGACGCCCGGATAGTCTTCGATCGAGCGCAAGAATATGGCTTCAACCTACAGACTCTTGATGTCGGCGGTGGATTCAGCAGCGACACTTTTGAGGAGATGGCGGCCGTTCTCCGCCAAGCTTTGGACGAGTTTATGCCGGCCCACGTCAACATCATTGGTGAGCCTGGTCGCTATTATGTCTCTTCTGCCTTCACGCTTGCCACGCACATCATTGCGCGTCGAACCATCGAGGATCCGGTGACCGGGCAGAAGAGCTACATGGTCTATCTCAACGATGGACTCTACGGCAACTTCTCGAGCATCATGTTCGATCACCAGCACCCAGTTGCTCAAGTCCTTCGCAGGGGTGACCGTGGCTATTTCGATACAGCCGCCGCCCGGGAATCCCGTGACGGCATCGAGTACTCGATCTGGGGGCCGACTTGCGACGGCATTGATCGCATCACGGAGAGTATCCGCTTCGACCACACCCTTGACGTCGGCGATTGGCTTTACTTCGAGAACATGGGTGCCTACACAAAGTGCTCCGCTACGAGGTTCAATGGTTTTACAGACGCCCATGATGTTGTCTATGTTGCCAGTGAGCCCGGAGCCAGAGCGCTTTTGGGGATGAATTAGGGTACATGGGCAACGCCACACTCGTCCAGAGGCGAGCGTAGATGCCCATTTGTTCTTTTCTTTATTAGCTCTCCATCATCTGCTTTAGCACATGTGCCAGAGAAAGTAGTGTGCTGATTTTAAAATTCTCGCAAGTTAATATGAAGTCAAAAAAATAGAATAGAGCTCCTCATTAATCGGCTACCAGCTTGGTGAATAAAGTTATGTACCTGAGATTATCGTAAATTCAGAACCACAGAGGACCCAAAAGCATTCTTCTTACAGACCTCTGTCCCCCAACAGCAAACGTAAGAAGCTAAAGACTGTTATCTAAGGTACCTTGCCTGTAGGTACCTAGGTACCTAGGTACACAAAAGGAGGTCAAAGTCACGTGAAATGTCGGGGAGCCGCTTCGCGCCTCGTACCTTGGAACGCCCTGCGAATATCAAAAGCATCCCTTCGCAACAACTTTTCAAACTTAAGCTCGGGATGCACAATCTTCCAGGCCACTGTAAAGGGGATTGAGGAATCTAGGCGCAAAGGCGCATCGGGAGATCGAATCTGGAGCTTTACTACATCGCCGCGTCGCCTCAACGATTGGTCTACATACCTATGCGGCGAAGTGCGATGTGAATGATATTCTTCTAGAGAGTCACCATGGCGGAGTTCTCTCTGGACTATGACGAGCGGGGTAAGTCCACTTTTTCAGAGCATGAATTTTGCTGATAACTTGCCAGGATCCAACGCCAGCTCTGACAACGATCAGGATGAGTTGATGGAGGATGCGGACGATATCGAGGCCAACGCTGATGCAGATGTCGACGCAGATGCTGACGAGGATGTGGATGAGGAGGATAACGACGACGATAATGGAGATGACGATCAAGATAGGGGCGAAGACGAGGACGATTTCGTCGAGCAACCAATATCACAACTACGAAGACCCAGTCTCCCTACCACGAATGAGAGCTCCGAAGCAACGTCGACAACAAGCCATATCAATGGAGGCCCTACGTCGCATCCTCATCCCATATTAACGCGAACCTCTGCCTCCCCGCGGCAGGCATCTGCTCCTTTACAAGCCTCTAGAATGCGCTTCGAAGTCCGACCAGAAGCACTCACGGCTCCTATCTACGATATCGTGCCTACCATGGCGGCGCCGCAAAGCACATCCATCAATGCAGTCACAGCAACACCAGATATGAGGTATTGGTTCACGGGAGGCTCAGATTGCTACGTGCGGAAATATGACGGTGCCGCAACTATAAATGGGAAGACATTGCTAACTGTAGCTCAACGACATCCGTTTGTAGACAGTGTCGTGAAGGCCGGGGTTCTGATGAGCTACTGGGATAACGAGGAGCCCGTTGTGAAGAGCCCAGGGGAGGACCAGACATTGTCTCCAGTTTACTCGCTTGCTGTACAATCGCAAGCTCTCTGGATGCTCTCTGGGCTGGAATCTGGGGCTATAAATCTGTACTCAGTGCGACATGATGAGGGGAAACGGATCGCCTATCTCCAAAAGCATAAATCTGCGGTCTCAGTTCTCACCTTAGCCAGTGATGAAAAGTCTGTTCTGTCTGGTAGTTGGGACAAGAATGTCTATGATTGGGATCTAAATACGGGGCAAGTTAAGACGTCTTTCGAGGGTAGTGGAGGGCAGATATCTGCGATTGAGATGCGACCTGCCTCGAGTTTACCAGTCCCCGAGGAATCTGGCGAGCCCGTACAAACCAATGGAAATTTCTCGAGCAACAATGCGGACAAGCCTCTACCGAATGGCACTCTCACCAATAGAGTTAACGGCACCATAAATGGCTCCACGGTAGAGGAAGGAAATGGGGACGCCCAGGGTTCCCCGACAGACTCTTTGTTTGGTGACGACAATTCATTATTTGGGGAGACTGCTGGTGACGGAGCGCCTTCGGGGGGCAATTTTGGGGACGATGACGATGAGTTCTCTCGAGCTATGAACGTTGAACTCGACAACCAAGCCCTAGATGGTCAAGGCGATCTTACCATGGAAGACGTTGCACCTCCTGCCGACGCATTGAATGGCGCCACTTCTCCTGGCGGAGGATCTGGCCAACAACCGAACGGCGTGCACAACAGTCCGTCAACACAACTAAATGGATTTCTCACAGAAGAGCCAGCCGAGCCCCGCCCCTCAGCAGTGGCCGAAACCCAAGATGCTGTCGCAACATCCGACTCGACCTTTCTCGCTGCATCCATAGATGGAACCCTTCGCGTCTGGGATCGAAGACAACCAAACCCGATTGCACGCATCCCAACAAGAACCGGAGTCCCCCCTTGGTGTATGGCAGCTTGCTGGTCTCCAGACGGGAACTACATCTATGCCGGGCGAAGAAATGGCACAGTTGAGGAATTCAGCTTGCATAAAGGTCTTCGGACTGCGGAGAGGACCTTCAAGTTTCCGCAAGGAAGTGGCGCGGTTAGTGCGGTGAGAGCCATGCCTAATGGAAGGCATTTGATCTGGTATGCAACTGCAATATCATATACATGATCTATGGTGGGACTGAGCTAATTAATGACAGTGCATCACATGACATTCTCCGTCTCTATGACCTTAAAGAACCAGCAGCCTTCAAGCACTCAACAGTCCCTTTTCTGATCGTTCCTGGCCCACCGAGAGCTGGTGTAATATCTGCGCTCCATATAGACCCAACTTGCAGATATATGCTCTCAGCTGCAGGTAATCGAGGCTGGGAAGGTAGCACTACGGAGGTCCTGATTGGGTATGAGATAGGAATTCCTTCTTCTTGAAGATGGACTCCGTCATGCAAATGAGACCATGCCAATAAATGTTGCGCCTGTAAACAGAGCATCAGATACGTCGGAGCGCGCTGAACTGGAATTCTTGACTGCGTCGGCCAAAATTAGAAGACTCAGAGTCATGAAGGGGTTTAAGCTTGCGTGCTGATGTGGATCAGGCCAACGAGCCGAGTAATATCTCTGTGGAAGGATTTTCTGGACTACTATACCCATAAGAAAACCAGGTCTGCTAGTACTGAGCTTTGATTAGCTGGCCCGTATGACCCTGCGTTCAGATCAGAAGGGGGCTCTTGATAGAAGCCGAGCTTGATTTTAGTCCTTGACAATCATCTATCAGGCCAGTTTTCTGCCGGCTGGAGTTGGACTTTGTTCGTTATATGCTGCCTCGACTGTTCGGCATTTCGTCCTTGTTTCAGTTGAGTTTGACCCTCACAGTGCGCCGGGGTTTCAATGGCATCTGAATTCGGGTCGAGGCTCGAGGCTATATCAGGGAATATATCTGGAGGGTATGAGCCTTGGCTCGTGTGCGTGGGAGTGTCAGCATCGTCTATCTGACGGAAGGTCGTGCCGTACGCTGCAAGGCATATGCTTCATATTGTAGCCTCAGCGCAGGGCGTTGTGAGACGATCCCCTGCTCACGCATCAAACGGACCTGCGACGTACGAAACAACACTCGGAGGCTGGAACTGGGACTCGGGAAACAGATACGGCAGAGGAGTGTTTCGTTTCTGGTGGGAATGTACCTAGTTATGCTTCGTGGGTAGTTGAGATGGATGCTTTGCCTGATGATTGCTGGATCTCACTTGTTTCTACCTACCTTACAGTACTGTACCTCACCAGGATCTCCCGCCGAGGGGGGGCTCATCGTAATATACCAACAACTCTATTGCTAATAGGATGATTTTATGGCCATGAAGAACTGGTATCTGAGCCTCTGATCCTCTGATAGGAATCTCCAGTCGATGCTATGCGGGTATAGAAATATCAAGATATAAAATTATAAAAATAGCAGAAATCCCTTACCAGGTATCCCTTAGCTGAAACCCCCCCGACACACAAGCGACCTCCCTTCCCGCCCAACCGCCAACGTCTCACTCCGTAACCTCCAACCACCAATCATCAATCACCAACCACCAACCGCCAACCGCCATCTCCAACATCAATGTTCATGATCGCCTCCAGGGTCCGGTAATACTACTATCGCTCTTCGGATTGGCCCCATCGAGGAGCATCAGGCACGCCGGTGCGATCCGGTGTATGCCCTGCGCAGTGTAGAGCTACTCAGTGGTAGAGCTACGCCGCCAGTAGCCTTGAGGAGGAGGATCCTGGACGCGGGTCAAAAGCCCATGCAAATGTCCAGATCGCCAGGGACGGACATGGCATCTGTCCGGCACTCGTTTCGACTCTCGAGCCTCCCGCAACTCGTCCCTCACTCTTCCCAGGCCTGCTAGATGCTACGTACGCATAAACGTGGTGGCGCCCGTCCGTCTTGTCTCGCTATCTTTCCCTGTACCCTCTCTTTCTGGTCTATCTTGTCTGCTTCTCTATCCTTTCGTTGCTTCGTTTCCGTTCCCTCTTCTCTTTCCTTCCTCTCTTCTTCTTCGCCTTGCCCCGTCCCCAAGAACCTGTTAATCATCTATCCCTAATCATCACTGGGCAGGGCTGTCACCACCAGTGCGGGCATTGCGTATAGGTAGGTCCTTCTGTCTAGCCCGGGCGATTGCTTGATAGCACCTCACTTGAGCCAGGCAACGTCTCGACTCTTCCCGCTGACAACCGTGTGCCTTATCGCAGACTCCCGTCACCACATCCTCTTCCCTCCGGTTGCGACCCTTCCCATCTGGAGCTTTCATTTATTCAGCAGGCTCTGAAGAATACAGCCCCATCTTAATATCTGGACACCGAATATCTACCTAGTTGAGAGGGATACCCCCCGACGGGATCCAGGTTCCAATCCGGTGGCAGCTAGAAAGTCGGCCTGAGGTCGCACCAGTATCAGGATGTCTGAAAAGATATTTGTTAGGAGCAGTGTGGGATCGATGCGGGTGTCGGAACGAGCGAGATGGCCACCGTTGACGAGAATGTTGATGTCGGGGGAGATGAGTGGTGAGCAGCCGAAGGACCTCAACCTGCGCGAGAGGTTCGATCGGTGGATGGTGAATGAGGGTTATCGTCGATTGTGAGTGCCAAAGTAAGCCCCTATTGGATCAGACTGACTTATTGTTGGCAGTTTCGTTTTCATCTTCGCTGCGATTCACGCCATGGTCTTTGCGTTCGGCTTCATGAATTACCAGCTCAAGGACAATCTGTCTCTAGCTCGCAGTACGTTCGGACTCACGTACCCAACAGCTAGGGCAGCGGCTCTGGTCCTACATTTTGATGTGGCTATGATTCTATTCCCAGTCTGCAGAACCCTCATCTCCTTGGCTCGACAGACGCCCTTGAATGGCATCATCCAGTTTGACAAGAATATCACATTCCATATAACTACGGCTTGGTCGATTGTCTTCTTCTCATGGGTTCATACTGTCGCTCATTGGAACAACTTCGCCCAGATCTCGGCCAAGAACAACCTTGGCATCGGTGGATTCCTTCTCGCAAACTTCGTGACGGGCCCTGGCTGGAGCGGGTATGTTATGTTGATTGCTCTCATGTGTATGGTGATCACATCCGTGGAGAAGATGCGCCGTGCCAACTTCGAGCGCTTCTGGTACACACATCACTTCTTCGTGATATTTTTCGTCTTCTGGTCGATCCACGGAGCCTTTTGCATGATCCAACCAGATTTCGCCCCTTATTGCGTGAGCATTGGGTCGAGTGCCATTGGCGTCTTCTGGCAATACTGGATGTACGGTGGATACATCTATTTGATGGAACGTGTTGCACGTGAGATTCGAGGCCGGCACAAGACATATATCTCGAAAGTCGTCCAGCACCCAAGTGGGGTTTGCGAGATTCAGATCAAGAAGGAGAACACGAAGACGAGAGCTGGACAATACATATTCCTGTGCTGCCCTGAGGTATCAGTGTGGCAATATCATCCATTCACCTTGACTTCCGCCCCTGAAGAAGATTACATCTCTGTCCATATCCGCATGCAAGGAGATTTCACGAAGCAACTTGGACGTGTTCTTGGATGTGAACTTGATAAGCCTGGAGGATCGAAGGAGGCCTCACAAGTCGTATCCGTTAACAAGAACAGCCCCGGAACCGAAGGCGTGGACCCGGCAATTCGCCGTGTCCTCCCTCGTGTTTACATCGACGGTCCTTTTGGCTCCGCCTCGGAAGACGTCTTCAAATACGAAATCGCCATGCTCGTCGGTGCCGGAATTGGGGTCACACCCTTCGCCTCCATTTTGAAATCTATCTGGTATCGTATGAACTACCCACAGAAGAAGACCCGTCTTCGCAAGGTCTACTTCTTCTGGATATGTCGAGACTTTGGCTCTTTCGAGTGGTTCCGTTCCCTTCTTCTTGCTATTGAGGCCCAGGATATGGATAATCATATCGAGATCCATACGTACCTCACAGCGAAGATCAAGGTAGATGACGCGACCAATATCATGATCAATGACGCCAATGCGGACAAGGATGCTATCACGGGTTTGAGGGCACCAACGAATTTCGGGAGACCCAATTGGGATATGGTCTTTAAGAGCATTAGGAAGATTCATTCCCCGGCGGAGGCAGGTGTTTTCTTTTGTGGTCCGAAGGTTTTGGGCAGTCAGTTGCACATTAAGTGTAATATGTATAGCGAACCTGGTATGTCTTTCTCCTTATCCATCCCTTACGATACCCCTCGTTACCTTCACTACACAACGTCTATCTATTCACATATGAACTCACACTGACGATAATTCAAGGTTTCAATTTCTGCTGGGGCAAAGAAAATTTTTAGACAGTGCGTGGCTTTTTACGTGGGTTCAAAAATGCAAGGAAGCGCAGGCGCGATTGCGGTGAATATATTCGTGATAGGGAGAACCGCCCATATATATATTATTTGAAATCATTTTTGTATGTAGGATGTGGGTTTTCCGACCGGGGTTTATATATGACTACCTCCCTTCACCTCTTTGCCTTCGCGATGAGAATTGATACTTGTGTGATGCGAGATAGATATACTTTCCCTACAAATATGTACACCTGTACTTTTGCTCGCTATATTCTCCTCGACGGAAGCTGCAAATATGCTGAGAGCACACTGAGCTCTCCTGCCGTCTTCAATGCGAGATTTTGCAAATCCATACCGCGTATGTCCGTTCTTCGAGACTTTGCAATAACGATAATCATAACTATATTGAACCCAATTCCTTTAACTTCTTAATCATACCATCCACATCCTCGACCTTTCCACCTCCCTGTCGTGGCGGAGGTTCTGGCGACGGTCAGCAGCTTCTCAATCAAAAGCACCAAGGAACAACTCACCAATAACCTTCAGGGTCTTTAATCTCTTCGTCACATCTACCCCCAGATCCTGCACGCTGACCTTCTCGATCTTCTTCTTCTTTGCCTTCATAATATTGGGCAGGCTCGCATATCGCGGCTCGTTCAACCGCAGATCAGTGGTAATAATCATTGGCAATTTCGCCCTCACCACGTCCGTCCCGCCATCAACCTCCTTCTCCACCAACACCTTGTCCCCCTCAAACGTCACCTTGGACGCTTGGGTAGCTTGGCCCCAGCCCAACAGGCCTGCGAGGATCTGTCCCGTCTGCCCCGAATCGTCATCGATGCTCTGCTTCCCCAGCACAACCAGGTTGCTCTTCTCCTTCTCCACCACGGCCTTCAGCAGCTTCGCAACACCCAACGGCTCCACCTCGTCCTTCTCGCTCACTTCGACGTGGATCCCGCGGTCCGCGCCCATGGCCATGGCCGTGCGCAAGATGTCCTGCGCCTTGGGTGGCCCGCACGAGAAGGCCAAGATGTCCTCCACACCGCCCGGGTAGGATTTCTTCTCGCGGATGCGCACTGCCTCCTCGACGGAGAGCTCGTCAAACGGGTTCATGCTGTGCTTGACACCGGCGGTCTCGACGGCCGTCTGGGCCTTGTTGACACGCGGTTTGACCTGTAAGTGGGAGGAGGGATGAGCGTCATCTCTCAAGGGGCGCCCATTGGCACAAGAAAGACGGGCGCAATAGAGGCACAAGGGGACTTACGGCATAGTCAATCACCCGCTTGACGGGGACAAGAATTCGTAACGCTGACATGGCGGTGGAGAGAGCGAAGTGTATTATCACAGAGACGTTTGGAGTGAGCCTTGGATCATGGCGATATTTAGACGCTGCTCTACCTCGGCTAAGCGCCTCGACTACAGCAGACCGAGTTACTCCGAGGACGCGAGCTCCTGGAGCTGCAGTACACTTGCTGGCTTCTATCGCGACTCGAGAGAACACCAGTTGAGGTTCCGGTGCGTATACCAGTCCCCAGAATGTCCCGCGCAGCTGAAGCAGCAATGGCTGCGAGCTACAAGAAGCTCAAGGAAGACTTTGTCTCGGGCCTGAGCGGAGGGGAGATTGGGGAAATCAACTACGTGACAGCAGTTGCGCCAGTAAGTTCTCCACGCCTGCTTGAACACTGGATATCTTAACTCTGGAAAGGCAGCAGTCGTTCTTTGGTCAGCCTTGCAATCACGGCAGTCGTTCTTTACCACCTACACGCCTCTCTCTTTCACCGTCGATTTCTTTCTGAACGTTGGCGCTATCCTTCTCGCAGTAACCCTCTACGCGGACACTCCTGTCCTCCTCAATGTCCTCCTCCTTGCTCCCGTCGCCCTCATATATCTCATTCCTCGAACCACAGCGCCAGTGCCGAGGAGACCCAAGGCAAAAGCAAAAAATGCCAAAGAAGATGCCCCGAATCCTCTCCCCAAGAGGCCATTCTTAACTACATACCGCGGGGCAATGATGGTTATAACTTGCATTGCTATTCTCGCTGTTGACTTTAGGGTCTTCCCCCGGCGGTTTGCCAAGGTGGAGACCTGGGGTACATCCCTAATGGATGTGGGCGTAGGATCATTTGTTTTCTCTGCGGGTGTCGTAGGTGCGCGCCCGATAATCAAGGAGAAGCTGGAGGGTAAAACAACAGCGCTCAGCGTACGCCTCTATCGATCCATCCGGCATTCCCTACCGCTCATTGTCCTCGGATTTATACGTTTGTATAGCGTCAAGGGATTGGATTACGCGGAACACGTCACGGAATATGGAGTACATTGGAACTTCTTCTTTACACTGGGCTTACTCCCTCCTTTCCTGGCCCTCTTCCAGTCCGCGTTCCAATACGTCCCATCCTATGCTGGATTGGCTATAATTCTAGGCGCGGTATATCAAGCAGCCCTAGAAACTACAGAGCTCAAAGCTCTAATCCTTACGGCACCCCGAACCAACCTCTTCCTGAAAAACCGCGAAGGGATATTCAGCTTCTTCGGCTACCTAGCCATTTTCCTCGCAGGTCAATCAACGGGCATGTTTCTTCTTCCCCGACCTATCTCTTCTTCTACTGGCGCACAACAAAGGCAAAAGCTCCTTTTAACCCTCGCTGGGTGGTCCGGAATCTGGATCCTCCTCTTTAATCTTACTACATCTTACAACTACGGCCTCTCACTCTCTGTCTCGCGCCGTATGGCAAATCTCCCCTATGTTCTGTGGATAGCTGCCTTTAACTGCACCCAGATCACTGCTTTCTGCGTCATCGAGACGCTGTTCTTCCCCCAAGTCTACAAAAGCAACGACACCAGCTCAAAAGCTGAGAACGAGATATACAAGCAGGCCACGAGCCGAATCTTGGATGCTTATAACAGGAACGGACTCGCGATATTTTTGGTTGCGAACTTGTTGACGGGTGTTGTCAATCTAACTGTTCCTACGCTCCACGTTAGTAACGTGCAAGCTATAGGCATATTACTACTCTACGCGGCGACGTTGACGGGGCTGGCGGTTGGATTAGATGCATATAATATCTCGATCAAGTTGTAGCACAGTATATAAGATCTATGCGGCCAGGTCTTACACCACATCCCTGGTACAGTGATGCGATTCACCGGCATATGGCCCCTCCCTCGCCGTGAAGACAAGCCTGACGCTGAGATGCCGCAAGTGACTTGTGAGGAGCGGGCCAGAGTCTATGGCAAGGAGATCGCCAGGACTTCGGAGCCATGTTGCCGTGGTGAGAGCTTCAAGCACCGACTGAGGAAAGGCAATCCTTCAACTCCTCTTAGAACTCGTATGAAACAGAGCGGTGGACAGGGCTGAGAGCGATGTTCAGCTTTCAGCCTTGTCCCCAGCCTCGCCGAGCTACGGAAACCGTCTGTCGCCGCGCGCGCTACGCCTGTAAGCTTCGCCTTGTGTAAACCGTGTTCGTAAATGTAATAAATTCATTCGACTTCACTGCCAATTAACCCACCGCCGAGGGCACAACGCTCCAAACCATGGCGGATACGCTCGACATGTCCCAGAGACTTCTTTGGGTCATGGTCTCGAGGATTCCCCAGGTTGTCCAAGAGACGCCCGTGTCTGTTCTGCTTCTCCTCCTAGCTACGACCGTCGTCTCTTTCCTCATCTTCGTCCGTATATCCTCTGACTTCTGTTCCTTACGTCCCTCGTTTACAGTGTGATCCAGGTATCCGCCGCGGTTTATGTCCTCGCGCCCACTCCCCGTCCGCCTCTCCCATCAGAAAAGACCTACATCACGAGCGCCCCAGATGGCTCTACCACGGCCGCGCGACCGCTCCCATGCTGGTATGACGAATGGTTGGCCCACCGAAAAGAGGCAGCCAAGGTCGGCGATCGCTCGGAAAAACACACGGGAACTATCAATGAGCCAGAGGTGTACATGAGCGTGGTGATTCCCGCCTATAACGAGGAAGAGCGTCTCGAACTCATGCTCGAGGAAGCCGTCGCCTTCCTGGACGCCGAGTACGGGCGGGTGCCGAGAAAAGAAAAGGGCAAAGCAAATGGACAGGCGGAGAAGACTCGAGGTGGTGGGATGGGAGGGTATGAGATCCTGATTGTGAATGATGGGAGTAAGGACGGGACGGTAGATATTGCTTTGGCGTTTTCGAAGAAGCACAATCTACATGACATCTTGCGTATATGTACATTGCAGCACAACAGGGGGAAAGGAGGAGCTGTCACACATGGCTTTAGGCATGTGAGGGGTGCATATGCCATCTTTGCGGACGCGGACGGAGCATCGAAGTTTGAAGATTTGGCCAAGTTGGTTGAAGGGTGCGAGGCTGTCGCCGATGAGTCCAATCGCAGCATTGCTGTGGGCAGCAGAGCTCATCTTGTGGGGAGTGAAGCCGTTGTCAAGGTATGTCCTACCACCCCACGCCGCGGGGATATATATTATGCTGATCTTGCGGACCAGCGTTCTGCTCTCCGAAACGCCCTCATGCATTCCTTTCACCTCCTCCTCTGGTTGCTTACCCCACCCGCCACGTCTCGCATCCGGGACACGCAGTGCGGCTTCAAGCTCTTCTCCAGGGCATCGCTACCATACATAATCCCCTACATGCACGCCGAGGGCTGGATCTTTGACGTCGAGATGCTGATGCTGGCCGAGAGCGCCGTCCTCTCGCGGCCCCAGGGGACGACGATCGGCACGGCAAACCCAGGGATCAGGATCGCGGAGGTCCCGATCAGGTGGAAGGAGGTGGGCGGGAGCAAGCTGAATGTCGTGTGGGATAGTCTGGGCATGGCATGGGGACTGGGGATCCTGAGGCTGAGTTGGATGATGGGGGTCTATAGGCGGCGATAAACAGTCCCGCGTGCTGCGTCGCCATGTACTTTGTCTTTTACTGTATTTAGAACCACGGGCAATTCCCGTGCTGTGTGTTCTCGCACAGCTGAATGAAAGTGACTCAAAAATGTGTAGCTGGCTGTCGTAGCTGAATACATGGTATATACACATGCAGTTCTTTTCCTTTCTGTTTGGGTTCCCCCCAGCCACGGCGATCTAGACGTTCCTTAGGCCTTTCGAAAGCACTGGCCGTCAACGGAGTTTCTAGGGCATCGCTGTCTATACGCATCATGCTAAGTAGAGTATCAGATTCAAAGACACGAATGCAAAGAACCGCTATCCACAACCAGAGCTAATGCTTGACTCCTAGAACCAGCCCAAAGTCCAGGTTGCCGGCAAATTCGGCCATCTCTCCTGCCATTCTCCAATGATCTCGGGGACCCTCTCGTCAAAACTAGCGCGACTCGCAGCGTTCCCACTGTCGAATCCAGACGGATCAAGCTCCCTCTCCTCTGCGGCTGCCTTGTTCAACGAGTCCGCCAGATCCAGAATGCCTCTCCCACCAACCAAAGCCTCCTCGTGGTTGTCCTTGATGTCCACATTGATGATATGAACAGGCCGATTCAAGAGGGAGCCTCGACTATGAAGATCGTCTACCACGGCATCCCAGCATCTCTCTTCGCATGTGATGACCACATCGACAACTCCGCCTTCGACCCCCGCGCTGCCTTTGTCCGTGCTGTGATCCAGTCTCGGAACACCAATTTGCCAGTCCTGCCATCTTTCAGGCCCCCACTTGACTCCCCGGTTGCGCTCAAGCATGTTCAACAGGCCGTTGGCGCGGTACAGTCGAGGATCTTTCGCCTCGAGCTCCTTATACATGCTGTCGTACGAGGTTTTATTAAATTGATAGACGTTCGGCTGGGTAATCGTGGGTCCGGGAAGGCGAACAAGCGATCCGGTGCCAAAAGAGATGACAGGGTAGTGAGCGGATGCCAGTCTTAGATGCGACTCCATAGATCTATAGTGCTATCAGAATATATACGAGGCACATATACAGGGCGACAAACCTATTTTGGTTGCTCGCACAAACCGTGCAGAATTTGAGCTTGAAGCCGCCCGGATCCACTCGTTCCCCATTCGATGCCAGTTGCTGGCCCGCCGTCCCATTCACGTCAGCCATCTGCAGTTGAGCCATGATCAATCGGTACTGTGTGTGCGTGGTTGGGTTCGCGGTGAAGGGGATAGAGACATGTGCAGTGGTGCGTTGCTCATCCTATTCACCCTATTCATCTCCTATCCGGTCAGCTCAGATGTCCAGCAAAGAGGGAAACCAGACAGCGAGAGGAAATAGTTTGCAAGCATTCAGTTGATAAGTTGCGTAAATAAAATTGTATCACCATGGAAAGTAAGACAGCTCCAATAAAGGGTTCATCAGGTTGCTGGATGTGTGGTGTGCAAGGAGACCAAAGAGCCATGTCCACGTACCAAGTATAACCATCTTCCTCCTCATATGTTGCATTTGCAAGCCATACAGATGCTGGAGGTTGGTACAATCCAGGTTGTGTGAATCTGCGAGAGGGAGAGAGAGTACAAGAAACCCGTCGGTAACGATTTGTTCTTTTAAATGTTTGAATATTTGAAGCTAGTGTAGGGCCAACCTCACCTACCTACTACGCAATATCAATATCATAGCTCTACCTACATTCAACCCCTCCACTCCACTCTACATTGCACCCGTCAAGATGGCGGCCAATATTCCTGCGAAGCTCAAAGCAGCAGACCTTACCAAGTTCTGTGTCCGAGCTGCACAGCTCGAGACAGTGAAGCCAGTGGTCGCATATTGGTGTGAGCACTCTATATCCAAGCAGGTACTTAGATAACAGCTAATGCGCCTCAAGGTCAATACTGGATCGTGAATCAGATCCTCTCCAAAGGTCTCCATAATGGCGACAGCGAAACGCTCCAGTACACGACGGACTTGATGGATAAGCTTGAACAGATCAAAGCTGACAACGCGACGAACGATGCGATAGTGGATGATACGGCTGGTCAAGCATATGTCGAGCAGTTTGCTCTGGAGACTTTCAATAGAGCAGACAGGGCGATCCAAGCCGACAAGGTCACAAAGTAGGGCACCAGCCTTCCACCAGAACCTTCAGTGCTGAAAGGCGGCAGACAGACAGCAGATACGTTCCAAGCCGCTGCGACGTTCCTTGAGCTTGTCAATATATGGGGGCCGCCAGACGGAGAGACCCAAGCCAAGATCAAATATGCCAAGTGGAACGCTATACGGATTGTCAAGGCATTAAAAGAAGGCAAAGATCCTAATGAATCGAATCCGAAGCCTCAACAGCAAGAAGAAACATCACCAGCATTAGATCCCAACGACATAGACGCGCTGCAGGTGGGAGAATCCGGTAAATACAGGAAACCTTCCGTTCAAGAGGTTCCCGACGAACCAGACCAAGTTGATACGAAGACCACACGGAAATCCTCGATTGATCAATCTCTAAACCCGTCTACCCAAGTGTCAGCTCATGGATCTTCGTCCACAAAGTACGAGCCCTACCCCCGGGATGGATTCCCCTATACAGCTGTGCATGACGACAAAGTCTCACCTCTCGAGCCCTCCAACCCTAACGGCAGAGATGGTTCTATAGGTGGAGGCTACTTCCCCCAGGTGCCAACCTTCACCTCTGAAGTCAGGGATTCGGCACTCCCTACTGCGCCACCAGACGATGCGGTTGATCTCGGACTGCCAGATCACCCTTCCACCAGCCAAGCCTTTGGTACCGGAGCAAACTTCGAATCTTTTCCTCCTCCAGCCCTCGACGATGGACTGCCTTCCGCTCCTGCCCCAGATCCCCAAGACTATTACCGTGCTCCTCCACAAGTCCAAGCCCCTCATCCTAGCCTACCACATGCCCCAAACCCACCATCCGTCCCCCAGCCATCGCGTGACCTACAGACGCAAATACCACACCCAGCTCCTGCTCATCCCCCGCCTATGCACTCAAGCGTAAATGGGAAGGAGCAGCTTAACACAGATGATGCGGCGATTGCGAAGGCGCAGAAACATGCTAGGTGGGCAATTTCGGCTCTGAACTTTGAGGATGCAGAGACAGCAGTCAGAGAGTTAAGGAATGCGTTAAAGACGCTGGGTGCGGAGGCATAGGGTATCTAGATATCTTGAGGATACTGGGAAGATTGTATATATGAAGGTACAGTTTGATCATGGAGTGAAAAGAATATTATACCCGGTTGTTTCTCCCATACCTGATGTTTTTGCCCCTCGCCTTTCCTTCTCCATTTTGTTTTGGTCGAGGAAACTGCAGTACTCACAAGCAAACGCAAAATAAGAAATCGTAGCCAGCCTGCAACAAGATGAATAAACTAAAGTTACCTACCGAAGCATAAGGTAATTGAGGGGAGGTATATCAACATGAAAGAGTTATGTCAGATGTTTGAATGGTCCCGCATTAACACTTTTCCGGCGCCGGCCTTCGGCCAATCTTATCGCATCTAATCCAATGTTTTCTCCTGCCCCGCTATCGCGATAATTTCAACAGTAACAGATTCAGCTGCTCCTGTTGACGCCGCAAAAAGACACAATGGACTCAACTCCATCACCCACGCCACACTCGTTACAACTTGTGGCCCTCTCACAGTTCAAGCCCTCCGCCTCCTCTCGTGCCTGGGTCTCGATCCCTAATGCAAACGGCTTACCATTCCTTGCGACTGCCACCTCTGACAAAACGGCACGGGTCTACTCCCTCGTAGACTTTACTCTCCATTCCACTCTTGAAGGTGGACACTCGCGCTCTGTGAGAAGTGTGGCGTGGAAACCGCAGGTTAGTAAGAGCACCGATGGCACGAGAACATTGTGTCTTGCGACGGGCAGTTTCGATGCTACAATGGGGATCTGGAGACGGAGAGAGGGTGTCGAGGGAGGGAAAGAGAATGGACAGCTAGAGATTGAGAGGAGTGATGGGGAGGATAACGTCGATGGCCTAGAGGTGGAGATCACTCGTGCGGGAGCCAAGCGCTCGGGCTTTGAAGACGATAAGTCAGAAAGCGAAGACGATTGGGAGTTTGCCCTGGTGTTGGAAGGGCACGAGTCCGAGATTAAACATGTGGCATGGTCACCATCCGGTCAATGGCTTGCGAGCTGTTCCAGAGATAAAAGTATTTGGATCTGGGAAGAGATTGGGGAAGAGGGAGAAGATGAATGGGAGACGATCGCCGTTTTGCAAGAACATACAGCGGATGTGAAGTGTGTCTGTTGGAGAGAAGATGATGGCAACGGAGAAGTCCTCGCGAGCGCAAGTTATGATGACACGATACGGCTATGGAGAGAGATAGATGGGGAGGGAGAATGGGGTTGTTTCGCTGTTCTAGATGGCCATGAGGGAACAGTCTGGAGTCTAGAGTGGGAGCCGGCAGTCAGTCAGAGGTTATTCGGGATGGAATCTACAACGGATGAGGATACTCCGAAGAGAACACCACGTCTTATGTCCTCTTCTGCTGATACGACAATACGTGTCTGGACGCTTCAACCAGCACCCCCACCGCCAAATAGGCCATCTTATTTCAACCCTTCTATACCTAGCACCATGCGTCCCGCACCTGTGGAGGAGACTTGGACCTGTACTGCTATTCTTCCAAAAGTCCACGACCTCCCTGTCTATTCTATCAGTTGGAGCAAGAAGACCGGCCGTGTGGTATCCACCGGCGGTGATGGAAGAGTAGCAGTTTACGAAGAAATCACTAAGGGAAGAACTCGAGTAGGCGGAGAGATTGAGACAGAATGGGTAGTGCTCGGGGTTTTAGAAGGAGGTCATGGACCTTACGAGATCAACAACGTGACCTGGTGTACCCGGTTTGACCCTGGGAGACAACGAGACGACGAGGAGATAGTTGTTACGACCGGAGACGATGGTGCCATAAGAGCGTGGAGTATCCTTGATAGCAAATAATCGACTAGCAATCAGGCTCTTGAAGTTCTTCTATCTAGAGCCCGATAGGAAAAATGGCTACCGCCTAAGAGATCAGTCTGTGCCCAGGGTGTGCAGCGTCTCATCCGGCCAAGGCCACCTCTGAAATACTCGGCCTTAGATGGTCGAGAATGAGAGCAACAATTGCTATGGATAATATATAGGGTGCAATGGGCACGAAGAATGATTGCCCTGAAATGGCGATATAGCTTGTACAGGATGTACTGTTACTCTGTGTACTGGTTGCCCAACCACTACAACAATGATATAGAAACTCATACGCTTTGAACCTGTTACTTTGCCATTGAAAGCTAACCAATATCATTCATTGTTTGACTTGGCTAATACATAGCTCGAAGCTCTCGTAATTTCATTAAAGTAAACCTCCTATTTCGTAAAGCCTGTCCCTCGCTTTTAGAGGCTTTGTCTGCTAGGTATATACGCAGCATGATACTAAGGTACCTTACCTTAGGTTTTCTCTGTCTAAAAAAAAAAGGGGGGGGGGGGAGGCGGCAAGGCAGCCAGGCACTAAACGACAAGGCTGAGGCTACCTGATAGGTGCTTCGAATTTTTGAACATCTGACGACAATTATCGAAGACAATTGTCGGGCATCCTTCTCCTAACTCGTGAGAAGCAAGTACGGCTGGTGGTAATATGGGTAATGAAGACATATCAATGTAACGACAACGATCCGATATGGCATTCCCAACCAAGCTATTGACCCAGCTACACGGCTCAAACGGTACGTTCCAACCCGACATCTTCCTCCCCACCCCCCCAAAACGTACCCTCTACGCACTCCTACGAGCGAATCTGACCTCAGATACCTCACAGGCCCCGTCCATGCCTTGGCCTACTCCTCATCGCCCTCGACATACATCCTGACCGGTTCCGCGGACCGTTCCATCCGCCTCTACAACCCGTCACGGTCTCCCGCAACAGCACACGCCACAAACCCCCTCGCACCGCCCAAACCGACGCAGCTGATCCAGACCTATTCTGCGCACGGCTATGAAGTCCTCGATATCAGCGTCGCGGCCGACAACGCGAGCTTTGCATCCGTGGGCGGCGACCGCAGCGTCTTCCTCTGGGACGTAGCCACCGCGCAGACCATCCGCCGCTTCGGGGGGAATCACGGCCATAGCGCGCGCATCAATGCGGTGGCATTTGCGGGGAGTGGAGATAGTGTGCTAATTAGTGGAAGCTTTGACGCGAGTGTGCGAATCTGGGATGTTAAGAGCCAGCAGATGAAGCCGATTATGGTGCTGGAGGACGCAAGAGATTCGGTCTCGTGTATCTTGGCTGGCGGCGCGGTGGGGATGGGAGGCGAGTATGAGATTTTGGCGGGCAGTGTAGATGGGAGGGTCAGGTATTATGATTTACGGATGGGCAGGTTAGAGACCGACGTTATTGGGGCAAGTGTCACCAGTCTGCAGAGAACAAGGGACGGAAAGGGGATTCTGGTAGGCGCTTTAGACAGCAGTCTGAGGCTGATGGATAGAGATAGTGGAGGGTTACTGAAGGCGTACAAAGAGGATCGGTGGAAGAATGAAGAGTTTAGACTGCGGAGTGCGTTTGGGGGGAATGAGAGATGGGTGCTTTGTGGAAATGAGGATGTGAAGGGAGCTGATGGCGAGGTCCTGGTCTGGGATACATTGACTGGAAAGGTCGTGGAGAGGATAGGGGTTTTGGGGTCACAGGCGGAGGAAAAGAAGAGGATCTCGACAGATGGCAAGGTGAGGGAAAGACGTAACGTCGTCAGCTGTGTTGCATGGAAGGAGTCTGGGAGGGGTGATCAATGGTGCTGTGCCGGCACAGATGGCATTGTGAGCGTTTTCGGCCCTGCATCGTAAACACGGTTGTCATTGGGTTCCATATATTGGATTCTCACTCGAATATGGCTCGCTCGGCCTTGGACGGTGTCCTATTGATCTTGGGGCTAGCTGTACAAACACCTGGCCCCCTTGATCTGGCACGTCGGCATCACCATGTACTATGGGAAGATTCCCTCCGGAGCTCACCTACGCCTTGCTCTCCAAGTTACTGGGCTGTTGATGGCCATATCCATATGGATATCCAGATTATCATACCCTCGAGTGTCGCAGGCCGAAGACCTTCTCTCCCAGTCTTGGAGCTGCAATCACTCTGAGAGAAGACACCCTTGGCGCACGGTCAGACGAAGCACAGAGCAGGCCAGGCCGTCTGCCTTGATCTGCAAACTTCCGCCAACCAAGCCTCTGTTCTTGATATCTGGGGGCCAAAGCTCGAGGGTTGGTAAGATTGGTGTCCAAAATCCAGATCCACCCGGGAGCCAGAACGTTGAAATAGTTCGTGCTATCATGTCTCATGCACATCAAAACTCCAACTCTTCAACCTCCATGCCGCATTCTACACACGTCTTCACGCTGACCCCATCCGCATTCTCGACCGTCTGGCCCCATTCATGCTTATGCCTCGTATTGCCAATAGCATCACCGAACTGGCCTGCTTTCCCGCCACTCGCCATGTTCCTTCTATAGGCTTCGGTCCTCGTTTTTTGCTTCAACTCTCGTAGCTTGCTCTTGAATTTTTCTTCCTTCCTCTTCTTCTTCTCTGCTTCCCTTCTCTCAAACTCGGCATCGAGAGCTTCAGCGGATCCCCACTTGACCGTGAATGCGTATTCTTCAACTTGGTACCGAAGAAAGAGCATCATGTCATGCCAATGCGACTTATGGGGATTTGGTTTATTCAAATGTGGCAGAAGTTCCGGATCCTTGAGTTCCGCTGTTCGGCAGTCAGCTAGAATTCCAAATGCCAGAGAGGAGAATCCCTACGATCAGTCAAAAGATAATCATCCTTAGCCTCCGTCTTCGTAAGTAGACTATACTTCTCGGGGTATTTCTCCTTGCAACTCCCGCAGACGGCACAGTGAAAGACCTCTTCCCATTGCCAGTCAATCTCCAAGCTTCCACACTCTCTACACTTCTTTCCATCCCTCGACAGGATGCTCAGTCCCGGCTCAAAGGGGCCTTCTTTCCTCTGCCTCAGACTCTTCAGCAACTGGTATCTCTCCCACTCCTTCAACGTCATATGTGCAGGTTTGCCCCCATCCTTCTCTGGCGCATGCAGCGCCTTGTTGAACGGATCGTCTTCCGCGCTCAGGAACCCACCCTTTGTGTCCGTCATCTTGCTAAAATCGTGGTCGACATACTTCTTAAACTTACGCGCGGCCTGGAGGCCCTCGTCTGCAGGCGCCCTCCGAGCATCGCGCACCGTTTCCAGCGACCGGCTCGATGAGGATATCGCATCGTGGGGCCGCTTCCGACCCGCCGTGGAGGTGGCGGAGGATGCGACGAACCCAGAAGGCGTTCGAGCCGTTGCGGATGTTTCGCTCCTGAGCTCGGTGGCGAGCGAGCGCTCGCGGAGGGCTTTGGCCTTGAGCCTGTTCTCTTCCTAGAGACTGTCAGTGGGAGGGGCACAGGGGACGAAGCTCACGACTTACGATTCGCCGTGCGACTTCTGGCGTTGATGCAGACGCAGAGGTTGTCTCAGACCGCCCACTCGGCCCTTGGGGAGGAGTGGCGGGCCGTTCCATGATGATCCGCTACGTGTCTGTGGTCTCTTGGTCCTGTTGATTCTCTTGGTCTCCTTTGCTCCGCGGAGAGCTGCTTGGATGTCCAGAAGGCGGCCGGGTTCACGAGAGTTGGTTCAGGAATCAGGACCTTAGTCAGTCGGGGGAATCGTATGCCAAGAAGGACAAGCCTTTTTCCCGCCCACGGCGCGCAGATCCCGCGGGTTCAGCCAGCCTCAGCCTGTGGATCAGCCGCGCCAGAACAACGGGGCGAATGGGGATGATCGTCGTTGATGTGCAGTTCTTTGGCGGCGAGGATCTGGAGATCCAGAACATCGCACATCCGAGCAGAGGTCACTTCGTTGATGGACGCTAGCCTGGTCACGGAATTGCCTGCAGTGCAGCATGTAGGTATCGATGGGCATGTCTGCACGTGCGATGTTCTCTGAGGATGTCCGGTGGATGGATGGATGGATGGATGGATCTGGAGGGGGGAGATCTGTATATATATATGTACTACAAACCCTGGCATGTTTGAACAGCATTGCTGAAGAAAACGAAACAAAACAAAACAAAACAAAACAAAACAAAATAAAATAAAATAAAACATCTAATTCCACATGTCCCGGATCGATCAACTCGGGTCGATGACGTAGCTCCAACTCGGGATCCGATTCCTGCGCCAGAATGTTCGACTTTGACCGTCTCTTCCGTGCGCTCATAAGCACACATCGGGGAGAACAGAGCCTCAACGCCAACCTCAACCTGAACCAGAATCACAACTTGAACCAGGACCAAACCCAACCCCGACCCCAACCCCAACCCCATCACCACCATCACCATCATCGCGGCTATTCCGAACCGGCCAAGATCACAGGTTGGCACGCCCGCCATCGTACCCTTTCGCTCACCGCACAGATGCCAGAAAGTATCGAGCTACCAAGAACTCCAACATCCTCAAAATTCAACAGAGACACCGGCTTCCCAGAACCCCTCAGTCCATGTTGTCTTCCCCCTCCCCCCAAGAATTCCAAACCCGCTGCTGACTTTCCAGATCGCAACACCACTCTCCCCCATCCTGACGCCGACACGTCTCCTAACGCCTCTATCGAAGCCCGCGACGTCGATCCGGCGCGCACTCGCGCACGGTATTCCCTTCACTACGACCGGAACAGCAATGGCAGCAACGGAAAGGTCATTGTCGACACCAGCCATCTGTATGACAACATCCAATACGCAGACGGCACAAAGGAAGCGAAGAGCGAAGAGGAAATCGAGAAAGAGGTACAGATGAGAGATGACCTTGTCGACCCCCCGGCCAATGGTACGGTCAAGGTCGAGATTCCCGATAACCTGATCCCGAGCGAGGCCAGGAGCAGCTCGGAATCAGGGGAAAAGAGGAGGGGGTTCTTGGGAAGGCTGCACTCGCATCGCCACAGATCACAGGGGTCGAGGGGGTGATCACAGGGAAGGCATTGCATACCATTAGAGCACGGAGTTGGTGTATGGATTGCGATGCCACTTTCAAATCTGCTTGGACATGGGCTTTCTGGGATTCGGGATCGGGAGCGCGATGGGTCGGAAGACGGAAGGAAATGGGTTCTATAGAGAGACGATCAAACGAATTGAATTGGTATCTTCAGCACCGCATATAAACTGCCATGTCTAACTCCCTCTGTATGTCGTATAGCTGTACGGACTCAACAGTAACGGCACATGGAAATGCTCCCCCTCCTTCACGAGGAACGTGAGTTCGACCTCTGGGAAGAAGGTCTTGCCCGGGCCGTAGTACGCCCCAGTATTAAACTTGATCCGCCAAACGCTGGAGCCCTTGGGGCAGATTGCTGTCCCTTCTTTCTCAGCATGCTCCTTGATCATGGTCTTGATTGAGGGTTGGTTCCCTTGGTGGTCGATCTCGGATTCCCAGGTCGCGATCCGCCCGTCCGCGTTCGTGACAGCTGTGAATGCGACGGCGGGATTGCTGGCGCACATCAGCGTCGTGATGATGTGTGCTGCTGGCCGGCCAGCGGTAGTGTCGAGAACATGGCAGGTGATAGGGTCCCTGGCGGCCATTGGAGCGGGAGGTGAAGTTCGGAGATGCGAGGAGACGGCTTGGAGACGGGCGAGGGGCATCTAGAGCAGGGTTAGCAGACCGAAGAGCAGCTGGGCGTGAGATAATAGCTACTCGAGAGGGTTCTCAAAGCGGTGGGTGGATTGGGGGGGGGGCCTTGAAAACCGCGATCTCGAGGAGCGTGGGCGATGTGTGTAGATGTATATATATATACTATATAGTAGGTAGATAATATCTCCGTATATATATGCGCGTCGATATTTGCGACGATTTATATGGGGATTCTTTTCTCCATGTGGAGGGGTCGTCGGAGCTCCTACAGGGCGTCCGGTAGACGGAGCACGGCGTGATAATGCACGAGGCGTGATTGGCGGAGCGGGGCTCGCCTAGCCTTCCTCTTCTGGACCCTCGCGATAACCGAGTCCCGACGGAGCGGGGAGGAGCTCCGCCTGGCACTACGGCGGACCGAGGCACAGCCATAACGGTCTGGAAGCTCAACATTGCCGCAGAACCTGAGGTATCCCTTCGGTACAAATATATATCAAGATTTCTCGACCCAAGAGTCACTCCACTCCCACTCTTCACAACACCAAAAAGTCCTCTCCTGCAAAGCGATGAGGTGACCCCCCCCCCCGTCCAACAATGCCTTCGTCCAGGTCCGTCACTGCCAGTCTGCTGCGCCAGAGGCCTGCCAGAGTCTCGTCGCAAGGCCCTCGACTCGCTCGGCGGAGCTTCCAGTCGCGAGCAGGCTTGCTCCGACCCCGCATCGCTCTTCCACCAGTTCTGGGCCAGCGTCGCGCCTTTTCGCTCTCAATCCCTCGCCATTTTGCAGATGTCGATGAGGCCTTCGACCCCAGATCCGTGGAGAGGGAGCGCGATGAGGTTGATGTATGTATAGTGGGTGGAGGTAGGTATGCTCGTCGTGGCATCGTCACGCGCCACAGCTTCACCACAGAGTACTGACGTGAACAGGTCCTGCGGGGCTGAGCGCCGCCATTCGATTGAAGCAGCTGGCGAACGAGGCGGGCAATGAGGATTTCCGCGTCCTCCTGCTAGAGAAAGCGGGAGAGATTGGAGCGCATATCCTCTCTGGCGCCGTCATCGAACCCACCGCCATCAATGAGCTCATCCCGGACTGGCTCGCAGAGGACAATGAGAACCGCTTTCAAGATGTCACCCCTGTAACGGGCGACAAGATGCGATTCCTCCTGAAGTCCTCTGCGATCCCCATTCCCGCCCCCCCTCAAATGAACAACCACGGGAATTATATTATTAGTCTGAACCAGTTTACGAAATGGCTTGGAGAAAGAGCGGAAGAGGTTGGGGTTGAGGTATACCCCGGCTTTGCTGCTTCAGAAGTCCTATACAAATCAGACGGGTCTGTCCAGGGGGTTGCTACCAACGATGTGGGCATTTCAAGGTCTGGGCAACCCAAAGATACCTTTGAAAGGGGGATGGAGTTCCATGCGCGCATCACCCTGTTTGCTGAAGGATGCCATGGCAGCCTCACCAAGCAAGTGATCAAGAAATTCGACCTTCGCCGGGACAGTCAACCCCAAACCTACGGTCTTGGACTGAAGGAGGTATGGGAGGTGCAACCCGAGAAATTCCGGAAGGGCGAAGTTGTTCACTCGCTGGGGTATCCTCTGCCAGCAGATACATACGGTGGTGGTTTCATGTACCACTTCGGTGATAACATGGTCAGCCTTGGCTTGGTGGTTGGGCTCGATTATCCCAACCCTTGGCTTTCACCTTACCAGGAGTTTCAAAAAATGAAGCATCACCCTTTGTACAAGTCGGTTCTTGAAGGCGGCAAGTGTATCTCGTACGGTGCACGTGCTCTGAATGAGGGTGGGTTTCAATCAATACCAAAGGTCGCTTTCCCTGGTGGTGCTTTGATCGGCGATACCGCCGGCTTTCTTAACGTCCCTAAGATCAAGGGAACCCATACGGCCATGAAATCCGGAATGCTGGCAGCAGAAGCCGCATGGACAGCGCTCGGATCGAACGATTCTGGCACAGTCTTTCTTTATGATTACGAAGATGCGCTTCGCAAGTCGAGCATCTGGAAAGAATTGAAGGAAGTCCGCAACATGCGACCATCCTTCCACTCGCCTTTGAAACTCTACGGCGGAATCATGTATTCTGGATTAGAAGCCTATGTTTTGAAAGGCAAGGTCCCGTGGACGCTCAAGCACCACAAGCCTGACCATGCTGCTACGAAGCAAGCAGACCAGTGTACAAAGATCGAGTATCCGAAGCCGGATGGCAAGATCAGCTTTGATATCTTGACAAGTGTAAGCCGGACTGGTACGAACCACGAGGAAGACCAGCCGGTACACTTGCAAGTCAAGGATTGGGATAAGCACGCGCAGATGGAGTGGCCAAAGTATAAAGGGATTGAGAACCGATTCTGCCCTGCTGGAGTGTACGAATATGTGGAGGATGAGACCAAGCCAATTGGTGTAAGGTTCCAAATCAACGCCCAGAAGTAAGTTGCCCGTTCTCGTATCCCCGGAAAGATTGCTAACCTCTTTTTTTTACAGTTGTATTCATTGCAAGACTTGTGATATCAAGGTTCCGGACCAAGGTAAGCTGCCCCGTCGCCTCGAGATGTTTCCCAGCTAAACGCCCGCAGATATCAACTGGACTGTACCGAATGGAGGAGATGGCCCCCAGTATTATATGACGTAGATAGATAAAAGTACATAGAAGAACCAAAAGCTTAAGCAAAGTTGTAACCCTAACCTTTCTTTCAAGTGCATGCGGTTACCTATGTGTGGTGTGGAGGGTAGTTTGAACGAGGACACCTCATGACGGCTGGTCCAGATTCCAGATGGTCTCTCTGATTCGAAGAGCTGGGCAAATGCTCGGGGTTTGGAGGATTGGCGACGAATCGGGGTTTAACTGTTGTGGTCCCTCTTGAACAGTAAGTCAGACACCGTAGATGCACGGCGGCGGGAATTCGAAGGGAAAAAAAAACCACAGATAAAAAGGCAGAAGAGACCGCCGAATCCGAACAATCGCCGACTGCGCCCATTGTTGCTTTCAATCGCAAAGCTTCTATATTTCATTTTCGAAATCGAATATCATTTCATTTCACCCGGACCCGCTGCTCTTGGCCCCGCGGCACCGCGATTGGAAAATATTTAATAAGAAAACACCAGAGCCCGCCCCTCCTCATCACCCCGCCCCGCCCCTCCAACGCCCATCCAGCTTTGTCTCTCTCTCTCTCTCTCTCTCTCTCTCTCTCCCTCCCTCTCTCCTACCGCGATTATTTGAAGAACTGCGCTGCCATTCGAATCCTCACAATCATGTCTGCTTCTAATTTCCCTCCCAAGAAATGCGGTGAGTCTGTCTATAGCCACGGCCTGCGTTGCGCTCTATCGCCACACCCTTTGATTGAAGCAAGTCAGTGAAAGACAAGCTCTGACTTGAACATGCGCAGGCGTCCTGGGCTGCACCGGCTCTGTTGGCCAACGTTTTATCTTACTCCTGGCGCAACACCCTTACTTCACCCTCCACGCGGTCGGCGCATCGTCACGATCCGCCGGGAAGAGGTACAAGGATGCCGTGAAGTGGAAGCAGGCCTCGCCCATGGGCAAAGAGGTGGAGGACCTGGTCGTCCGCGAGTGCAAGGCCAGCGAGTTCGCCGACTGTGACATTGTGTTCAGCGGGCTGGACGCCGATGTGGCCGGTGAGATCGGTACGAACAACCTGGAGCCCCTCTGTTCGCTGGCTGCGGTGTTGACTGGTTATATGTAGAGATGGAATTTCTCAAGGCTGACCTGGCCGTCTTTTCGAACGCGAAGAACTACCGCCGCGATCCTCTGGTTCCCCTCGTGGTCCCCACGGTCAACTTGCCACACTTCGATGTCATTCCTTACCAGCGAAAGCAATACGGTCTCAAGAAGGGCATGTTGGTCTGCAACTCGAACTGCGCGGTGATCGGCATAGTGATCCCCTTCGCCGCAATCCAGAAGGAGTTCGGGCCAGTTGATCAAGTGAGCGTGGTTACGATGCAAGCTCTGTCCGGTGCGGGCTACCCCGGAGTTAGCAGCATGGACATCTTGGACAACGTGGTCCCATTCATCTCAGGGGAGGAGGACAAGCTCGAAACCGAGGCCCAGAAGATCCTCGGGAAGGTCAACCCAGAAGTCACTGGCTTCAATGACCAATCGGATCTGAAAGTCTCAGCGGCTTGCAACAGAGTGGCAGTTCTGGACGGCCACATGGCCTGTGTCTCGTTACGATTCAAGAACAGAGATGGCCCACGACCTACCGCCGAGGCGGTAAAGAAGGCGTTGAGGGAGTATGTGAGCGAGGCACAAACATTAGGATGCCCGTCTGCGCCTGAGCCCGCCATCATGGTCATGGAGGAGCCCGATAGGCCACAGCCCAGACTCGACAGAAACGCCCAGAACGGTTACACGGTCAGCGTCGGGAGAGTAAGGGAGGATGATAGCGGCATCTTCGATCTCAAGTTCGTCGCTTTGAGTCATAACAGTAAGTCTTATCCCCTCCCTCCCTTTCTGATCCAGACTCAAGCTTACAACTCGCAGCTGTTATTGGGGCAGCTGGCTCCTCCATATTAAATGCTGAAGCAGCTGTTCTGAAGGGATATATTTGAACCAGGGCTCGGATTGGCGTTCGGGTGGTTGATCGTGGGGTGTGCAACGGTCTAGTTACATGTCCCAAAAATTCCTCTAACTTAGATATAGATGGCAAGTAAGAACACTTCGGCTCCAAGATGCGCGTCTCGATTTCTCCAAATGAATTTGACTATAAGACAATGTGCTAGAATGCATCTGAACTTAGCAAGATCGGATATGTAACGTGAGGCATGACGACCAAGTGCCTTCCGCCGGTGCGGCCTAAGAAGCCGCTGCTCTTTCGACTGACTATGAAGTCGAGGCTGAGGCGCTCATCGATACACCGCTGTGTAGAAACTGTTCCCGGAAACATGTCCCTAAGACATTAGTTGCCATGGAATTATCGTGGGGAGACGGATTGGTGAACATAAGAGCTTTACAGAAGGGATGCATGTCTCGTAAGGTGGTATATAGGGAGTCCCTGAGCAGCTAAAATAAGAATCTAATAAATATATACAATTGTAGTAGAGCAGACACACCAACCTTTGGTAGGTAAGATGGCTGCCTTTTGCGTGTGATACCTTCAGAGCTATTCCGACACGCATGAGGCTACCTGTACAGCCCATTCACACCCTCCTATCGAACCTTCGTTTTGGACCCCTTGAACCCATTCCCTGCCTTCTCCTCGATGTGTTTCTGTTTCCACTGCCACTCAACTAGGACGGGGAGGAAATGCCGCAAGTCAAACTCTGGCCATAGACAATCCAAAAACACAATTTCCGTATCCTCATGGCATTGCCAGAGCATGAAATCACTCAGTCTCTTTACCCCACTTGTTCGAACTAGGAGGTCTAAAGGGGGATCGCCAACGGTATATAGATGGTCTGTTACCGTATCCACTGTTATTGTTTCTGGATCTGGATAGACCTCTCCTTCTCGACTATCAATTGGCGGTGATTCTGGATGCAGGGTAGTAGAGGATGATGCGGAGTCGTCGATGTCGGAAGTACTTGGTGGTTCTGGGGAACTGTTCCTGCGGGGTGAATTCGAATGTAAAGCATTGATATTCCTGGATCGGATTTTCTGGGTGATTCGTGTTTGAGAGAAGGGCCGAGCTTGTGTAGCCAGTGGTCTGGAGTAGTCTTCGACGGTAGATCTAATAGCACTTGTGATCTCGTCCCGGGACGTATAAGGAAAGCAAATATTGAGCACCGTGCTGCACAAGGTCAGACCTATCCCGTACCACCCCGGAATGTCTCTACTCACTCGACGTTGTTTTTAGTCAACTCGACAGCATTATCAATGGCCTCCAAGACATCCGGTTTGACCAGCTCCCTCTGCCCTAAGATGCGTACCCTCGCTCCATATCTATCCAGCAGATCCCCGTGTTGCGTCAGTTGAGATAGCTTGGCCTTCGCCATTTCCATCAAAGCATCCACTTCGTATTTCGAGCGTTTGAAGTTCTCTATGCTGAACGCGTAGACCGTCACGGTCTTGACCCCAGATTTGTAGCAGATCTCAAGTATCTGCCAAAGTCAGCACTAACCTCCTGCCTAGAAAGGAGCTCTGATCCAAACCCTTGCTAAAGCTTCAAACCCCAGATTATGGCCTTCGACCGTTTCGATTTTATGAGTCCGCGCGAACCGTCTATTGCCGTCCATTACGAAGGCAACATGTTGGGGAATGGGGCCTTGCCGCAAAGCCCCAATGAGCAACTCTCGTAGCTGGTTCAATCCCCATTCAATGGGCGGCGACTCCAGTATCCACTTCCGCAACTGGGAGAGGTACATCGAAGACATGTTGCCGGCCGGGATGCGAAGGACGAGGGCAGGTGGCCTGCAGCTGGAAACCTTTCTCGGAGCAGTGAAATAATATGGCGAGAAGCGGCGACGACAGGAGAAATGAAGCTGATGTATGATGCCTTTGAGGGCCGTCTGTGGATTAACAGGTATGGGGTATCAAGAGGGAGGATGGTAAGGACGAGATGTTGCGAGAGAAGATGTGGTTTGGTTTGAGTTGGTAGAAACCCCCGGGAGGCCGTGACGAGGCTCTGCCGGTGTTTTAAGTCAAGACGAGAGGGAGAGCGCAACGCAGGTCAGGGCAGAGATGGAGATGGAGATTTGATATATCTCTATAGTGAGGTACAGTTACGGTTACAGTTGCAGTTGTGTTTGATATAAGATACCTATCTTTCTCAGGAACCGTGATTCCTCTTTTCTTCACGTGGATCCCGATGCGAGGCTACCTTACCTCTGTGATTTCTGTGATTTCTGTGGTGCCTGACAACCAAGGCATCCAAGGCATCCATCCATGTGCGAACGACGAGGGGTCTTTTTTGCCCTTTCACCCCTCGTTTTCTTTGCACTCGACAGCTTCACCGAACGACAACACCAACGCCAACGCCAACCTCAACCCCCCCCC